ATTGATAGTAAAAATGGTCAATACAAAGCTTAATAGACTCTGGTGTTCAATACCCAACACTACCCTTGAGTGTCGAAGGCCGAGTCGATGTCATAAAGTCAGGACGCAAACAATAAAATGATGGCAACAGTTTCTCCACATAAAAATGTGAACCATCAACAAACACCGACACTGTAGTTCGCAAGGAATAGGAGCTAGTATACTGGTAACATTCCACTGTTTCTTACTAGCCTACTGTGTCAAACTTTTCCCTTTTTTATTCTTTTATTAAGAAAATTCTCTTTAAAAATCTTTCTATAGCTATTTTTTTTTCTTAGAAAATATATAAAAGATCAATTTACAGGTATTGTACAGGTGAAATATCCTCTGGCTTTTGTTTTGGAACATATCTGACTCATTTTGTTCTTTTGCAGCACACAGATGTGTTGTTACAGAACATCAGTTGAAACAATAAACATGAGTCACCACGGTGGCAGAAAAGAATAGGAAAAAAAAAAAAAAAAGAATTGCTAATTTCACACAGAAAGAAAAACAAACACATGCAATCATACATACAATACAGTGCCATGCAAACAGTCCAGGGAAGTACATTATTTAAGAGTTGCATTTCTTTCTCTTTTTTTTTCTTCTTCAAAGATTTCATGCCGTCTTGCTATACATACAGTACATGAAATGACTTTTACATAGTGTGATGTTCGGCTGGAGCTGCTTAGGGGGGAAAAAAGCTTTGAGAAAAGTAACGTCTGGCTGAGGAAAGAGGTGAGATTTTAACATTTCGCTCATGGGACAAAGTCTTTTTTTTACCTTTCCTCATCTGACCTCAGCCTACTCATCTCAGACTTAGAGTATGTGAGGTTCCCCCCACAATACCTCTTTATTATAGGAATGCCCGATATTAACCTTTTGCCGATATCCAATATGCCGATATTGTCCAAACACTTAATTTCCGATTCCGATATCGATACAGCGGTGCAATGGCGCTCTCCTCCTTCCCCCGAATTGAAATTCTATTCAGCACCTGGTAATTTTGACTTATTTATCTGTACAAACCACCATATATGAGTTGCTGGCACCAGCTTCCTGCATACAAACCCTTGATTACCGATTAGTAAAATGCAATACTGCCATCTAGTGACCGGAGATTTGTGTGATGTTTATTATGTTCTGCTAATGTGTTACTAAGGAGTTAACAGTTACCGTATGGGAGTGGGAGTGAGGAGGTGAGGTGAGAGAGCATGTGTGTGTGTGTATGAGAAAGAGAGTGTGGAGAGTGTTAGAGGAGGAAAAGGTGTTTTTGGAGAAGCTGGGTTGAGAGCAATAAAGGAGTTTAGAACAAGTTACTGCAGTAGCTGGTCTGTCGCCGTATTGTATTTTTTGGTCACATAATTAGGCGAAACCCAGGCATTGCGTTATCGGGTTTTCATTATCTGAGGAAAAAACGATTCTTACAGATATTACATAATTATGCCTAATATCGGGCCGATATTATCGGACATCCCTAATTTATTATCTGTTTCTCTTGTCTAATACATTTGTGCGTGATATCACAAGTTATTAGAAAATTATATTATTTCGAAATATACATTTTTATCCCTTTTGCAGTGACAGAGGTCAGTTGTCAGTGATTAGGCTGCTTGGAACATACTATCTGTTTCTCTTGTCTAATACATTTGTGCGTGATATCACAAGTTATTAGAAAGTGGTCAGTGATTAGGCTGCTTGGAACATACAAAAACCACGGCATCACAACTGTTAACAATAATATAGAACGTAGAAAACAATTTAGAGAATAAAAAAAAAATTAAGTGGAGATAAGAGCTTCAACAACACTGACCACTGCAGGCCGTAATCGATATTCTGCAGAAAACATAAATAAACATAAGTAAATAAAATAGTAGAACATGAACTGTGGTTATTTTGCTTCAATTATATAAATTCCTAACAGTGGTGTTTTTTGTTTCCATAACAAGAAGCATTGACTGTATAAAAAAATAAATGTGGAGACCGCTGGCCGCTGCACTGCTGTGGGAAGTTACTTGAAAAATTGCTAACCATTTTCAGTAACGTCTTTTTTCACTCTTTGGTGCCAGTTAACATGTGCCCCAGTGAGTATGTCGTTCCGATCACAGATTCATATTGTAAGAAAATAACAACAGTTGAGTAACATCCAAAAAAAGCAGAATATTATATATCAATATAGATGTGTTAAAATGGCCTAATTTTACCCACAACCAGTGCAGCATTCTGTCTTTTACCCTCATCTACTCTTTGGAACCAGCTCTGTCAAATTCCCATATACACACCAGCTTTACATTGTATACTGTCTATCAATCTTTTTTTAACCAACATAATTTGTAAGGTGTCAGGTGGGATAAAAAAAAAGTAACATTTTTAAATGAGCAAACGAATGCCTATGTACACAGCAGCTGACATTCAGTAGAGAGTAGAGTTGGCTCGATCCAATACTCAGAATTGATCCGATATAGGTGAAATTTTCAGGATGAAACATTGAAAAAAAAAAAACAACTTAAGCCCATTTAATTGGACACCTAGGGCCAAATGCTCAACTTAACATTGCACGACATGCTGTAAACAGTGTCACTATCACCTAGGTGATGGCAGCCTGCGACATGCTGGAGAAGGAGAGAAGGTACCGGACTGATATCGTTATCAGTAGGGATGTCCGATAATATCTGCCAATCGATATTATCGGCCTATATTAGCTTAATTATGTAATATCGGTAAGAATCAATATTGCTTTTTCCTCCGATAATGATAACATGATAATGCAATACCCGGGTTTTGCCAAGATGATGCAACCCAAAGGTAGTTTTGAAGTGAAAGTGAAACTATTATTTGTATTGTACCAAGTATTGTCATTGTGACAAAGCACATCACTGCCTTTAACCCTAGTTCACATCCCTAGTTATCAGAAAGATACTCCAATTTGCTGTATCGCAATCTGACATGAAAAACTTGTATCGAGCCATCGCTACATTTTGACAACGTACACTAGAGTGACTTTGACAAATTAAAAAAAAAAAGTCCCATCACCTTTAAACTGTGATCTGGATTACATTATTTCAACATTGGGTGATGACAGTTGATACATTTGTTTGCTGTTGCACAGATCCACACAAAGATAACATAAGATATGATCAAACGAGAGGCATCAATAAAGCTTTTCTAGATAAAAGCGGCTGCAGACATGTCCAGTAACTGTAGTCAAAAAGAACTCAGACAGACAAACAAAGCTGCTGTCAGTTTAACCAACCTTACAAGGGTCATTCTGAAGGTCATTAGAGGTTTAGGCTGTGATGTAAGACCACAAATAGAGGATTGGGTTTCGTACATGAAATATATATATATATATATTGGAAATATCTGATTTAGCCACTTAGTAGTGAACATTAGGAAATGATTTAGCAACGATTATTAAAACCTGCTCTTGTCAGTGTTAAAAGTGAACTGCTGGTTCATGAGAGTTTGTCATCTTTAAAGATACTCAGGTACATTTTGTATTGATCTAGTAACAGCCAGATGTGAAAATGACTGACAGCAGCTTCATACCATCAGTCAAAAAAAATAAAATTATATATATATATATATATAAAAACAAACAGGTATGCTAAAAAGTTCTGCATAGCTTATGGAATGGAATGGAAAAAGAACCATCTCTCCAAGTTTATGTTGCGAGGCCGAACCTTTAGTCACATTTTTAAAAAATATTTGTCATCCCTGTGATTTTCTATTAATCTTCGTATACGTTTTTGGGGCAGAGTAGCTTTTTATTTTCAGTTTTTTTTTTTTGTTCCTCTACTCACACCTTGTACTTCATCTGCATTACAAACAGAATAACACTGAACAGCAATTATGTAAATAAGCAGAGACAAGTTCAAACATACCGGAATAATTTTTTTTTTAGTTTGTTTGTTTATAGAAATCTGTCAGACAAAAGGTTCTGTACACTGTTTGGCACCACTGCTTGTACTGAACCCCACTCGTGTCCTCGAATTGCCTGTGCCATGCCAGAGAGGTTTTAAAAGTGGGCCACAAAGACATTTATACTCTCAAGTGTCGTCACTGTGCAGCGATCTGACACTTCCAGCATAAGTGAATGCTCTTTACTGTATCACAGGTGTGCACAAGCAGCTCGGGATTTCCTTAAGTATTCTTAACTGAGTGCTTGTAGGTACTCCAAGTATCAGGCCAGTTCACATACAGCTTAACAATTGCTACTTTTTTTCCTCCTCCTCGCCCATTGCCTCCATTATTTGCCACCGTCTAAAAACTCACCTGACAAATTCTGGCATGAATGAAATATCTAATCCCCTGCTTATACAAACCGTGACAGTTCTGTTTTTACACAATGCAATGTGCAATTGTTCACGATGGACACAGTGTATGCCATCTACCCAGTTCAGCTGTTAAGTGAGGTCTAATGTTACAGAATTAAGCATGCAGTGTGCTTCCAGGTCCACAGTTTCTTTTTGTTGTTGTTGTTGTTGTTTTTTATTTTCCACATAATTTGGTTTTGTTTCTTTTTTTTCGCCGTTATCAGCGCGTGAGGAATGAGTTGCATTCACAGTCATGATGTGCACTTTTTAGTCTGCGCACGTTTGTATTATAAACCCTTTCGGCGCTTTCGCCAACTTTAATTCTTATCCTTGGTTTAAAAGACTGCTCTGGTCCCTCACTCGGTGTACTTGAGATGAGGTGCTGCAGGAGGTGAACGCAGGACTACAGATATTTAAATGCGTCGGCATACTGCACTTTTAGAATTGACCTACAGATTTAGCAAGCATAGCTTCGACCGGCTAACGTCTTAAAATACCAAATAGTTGGAAAAGAGCATTGGAACCATAGCATGTTTACATAGCAAGTTTGTGCAAATGAGATACACTGTCCAGACTGAAGAACTGACCACTACAGCTGCGTTCTACTCTGACCAACTTGGCTGCTATTGGTTGGGAGTGACAAGTGCCCACTCCTCGGGGGGAATGCTCCTCCCCCACCCCATTGCATGCTCGAGGTTTCTCACACATAGAGAAGCCCCCTTTACCTGACCTACTCGTATTGCGATGCTATAATCTATCTAGACATTTGTGACATGATCAGGGTTCTCCCTCACTTCAATGCACTCTATCTCCTCCCTCTCTCTCTCCCGCTCCCGCTCTCTTTCCCGCTCTTTCCTCTTGGCTCGTTTCTTTTTCTTGTGCCGCTTTTTGGACGGCGGAAAGAAAGTCAGGAAGACCGGCAGAATGACGAAGCAGTGCAGCACGGTGCAGCCTGCAGTCAGGAGGGAGCATTTGAACAGTGTGTAAGTCAGGTTGGAAGGCACAAACACTAGGGGCATGATCCCAATCACAAAGCAGGATGTGTTCTGCAGTATGGCAGCTCCGTGCTCCTCCAGCGCCAGCTTGATGCACTGTGTCCTAGTGTGCTCAGTGGCCAGCACGAAAGTGTACAGGTGGGGTGCACAGTGATCCATAGCAAAATTAAGAGTATAAATAAGGCACAGGATTGAAATGCTGTCCATGCCAACGTTCCAGAGGGTCATTAAACCCAGGACGCCCAGTTCCACAGAGGTAACTGTGAGGATAAGCCAGAAGTTACCTAAGGGGTTGATGACCAGGAAGAAGGTGAGAATTAGTATGGTAAGTACACTGAATCCTGAGGTCAGAATCGGGGAGATGACGGAGGAGCTGTAGCGGTCCATGAACACAAATGTGGGATTGAAGGCAATGAATTTGATGCTGTTGATTAGCATCAACGGCCGTAGCTTCTCCAAAAGTTCCACCACCTCCTCGCGCTTCTTCTCAGTTGTCCGTGCAACCAAGTACATTCGAGAGGCGATTATGTCGTACTCGTCAGTCTCTCTGTTCTTCGAGAAAATTATGTCCTCGGTGAAGTGCTGGTACTCCGGGCTTCGCAGGAAGGAGCCTTTCAGGATGTTGATGAAGTCGCTCTTGGTCGACGCACTCACATTTACCACACGCAGGTAGTGAAAAAAATTGTCCATCCAAGAAATCTTGTTGAAGCCGTGACTCAGAGTCCTCAGGTGCTCCTGCACCGTGGAGTTCCAGTACTCGATGGGCTCATAAATGTAAAACCCAATCACAGGGCTGTAGTTACTGAAATATTTCTGCTGGGTCAGCGCATAGGAAACGCTCGGAGAGTTACTAGCCAGGAGGTTGACAATGTTTGATCCGTCACTGATTTGTAAACATCCCATGAATGAGAAAGAGGCATAGATGAGATAGAGGATGACTACGAAGGGTTTGACGTAGGTGTTGGTTATCCATTCTGTGTAGTGCTCTCGCAGAAAGTGCTGAATAAAATGATTCTGGTAGGGAACGCTGTCGTGGTGCGTGGACAGGTCATGGCCATCGCTCATCATAGTTTTAAACCACGTGGGCTGACGGTCCAAATACTCTACTGATGGGATTTTGCAACAAAAAACACTGTGGTAGCGGTTCTGCTCCAGCTGCCCTGCGAACACCAGGCAGGATCCGTAGAAAGAGAAAACGTAGAAGTAGTTGACCAAAATGGCAACGCACATGCTTTGGCAGAAGATTTTCACCGACTCAATGTTGGTGAAAGGGCTGGCTCCCATGCCAAAGGTGATGATGTACAGGGAGCTGGTCATGGTGTAGCAAACCATCACGTCAGCAAAAGCATCCGCCACACGCTCCTTGAAGGGGAGGTTTTCCCTTGTTCTCCTCCAGCCTGCCAGCAGCTCAAAAACTCCTTTGGTTCCATGGCCTAAAACAGGAGACAGAAGAGAGAATTAGCTCCGTTTAGAACAGGTATGGCAAAGTACAACCCGTGGGGCCGGATAGCGCCCATTTGGCTTTTTGATCCAGCACGCCAAACTAGTCCAACTTAGTCCAAAAGCATTTTAGCTTTTATACGTGACTTTTACATGAAATTTATCTTAGTTCACACAAACGCTCCATCTATCCGCCCTGTCAGATTTTAGGGCCAATTGTGACCCTTGAGACATAAAGTTTGCCCACGCCTGGTTTAGAACATGCACAATGGTAAATGGTAAATAGTAAATATAATGATAACAATAGAACAATTGAACATCAACCGGTGGCCTGCGGGCTGAATCTGGCACGTTGAACCATCCAATCAGGCCCGCGATTGGATTGCAAAATTAAAACATCAAATAATAATCTTTAGACAAAAATGTGATTTTTATTTCATTTAATTTGAGTGGCTCTGTACGTTTAACATATATAATTAATGTTTTTCATTTAACTCTTTATGATTGGACATGTCACATGTTAGTGACAAGACTGATTAAGAAGTTATACTTAGAAAAAGCAAGCAGGGAAAAGGGGCAGGAAGCGAAATTTCCTTTGACGTCCCTGCACTTCATAAATGTAGCGACACATTGACAAAGGCCGTTTGAACCATCTGCTCATCCCTTTGTTTAACTTCAGCTTTAAAATATTACGCTTAGATATACAGCGCAGGCAGGCCGTGAGTGGACAGTAAAGTAGAATGGATGGCTCTCCCTGACGGTATTATAAATTCTCCTTTGTTTGTCATGGGGAGAAAAGAGTTAATTAACTATAAAGGATTAGTGGAACGTGATGAGTCGGCCAAACGGTTCTTCCTGCTTTTAGTTTTATTAGGATTTTCTGCAAGTCTAATGGTTGGTGTCAATTAGTTTGGCTGATAGGGAAGCAGGGGGGAAAAAAATCGCAGCCCTGTGTTCTGCATGTGTTCCCAGGCTATTCAAATCATTGTGAAGTACCATGTTAATTTTTTATTATACTGTAAGAACAAGGGAGTCATTCCCTTAATTAATTGTGTGCAAGTAATAACATGGGTCCACAATCTTTTAGATCCTAAATCTTTTTTTTTTCTCCTCTTATACAGCTCACCATCATTATGTTTTGCTTTGCTTTGACCATTTCTCTTGACCTCCCTGACTTTCCTGTTCTGAATGCTCTCCTATTCTTCATCTTTCTACCACCGACATCCTTTTCCCTATTAAGTCAACTTTGACTCTGCTTTTTTTGTAACGGCATTTCACTTGCCTCAATTCTGCAATACTTCTCCCTCCACAGTTTCCATTTGTTATTCTAGGCACTGCTTTATCTTCCTTTGTTTTCTTTGCCATCCTACACACTAGCGAGCCTATAATGCCTTGTTACACTCTCCCTTGGCCAAGTCTACCTCTGGCTTGCGTTCGCTGCGTAGGACATAAATCACCTGTGTGCACCTTCCTACATTCTTAGATGTTACTCGTTTATTAAGCTCCCTCACTCACTCATCAAATGAGCTTTGTGTTTGTGTTAAGCCAGTAGCTGAATACATTATACACAATGCCCCCCCCCCAAAAAAAATATTTGCATATATACCTGCTGTGAGTTATTTTTTTTATCGATGACAGACCATTATCAATGACTTCATCAACGACTAGTACAAAAGCTAACGTCTGTGATGGTACTGAGGTTCCACTGTAGCCATCATATGTGAAATCTGCTTATAAGGTATGTGTTTGTGTAAATGTGATGGTTAATGTTAGGGAAATAATGTCAGTAATCAGCATTACCCTCTACGTAAAGGCATTCTTGGTCTCCTTCTCTCAAGCCTTGTAGAAGACTTCAACCACTGAAGGCGTGACTTGAGTTGACCTTTTTCAGAGACTCAGATCGCAGCCATAAAGGCTGCTGCATAGTGATGAACATCAGGTCGGAAATGGAAGCCAAAAGAAAGACTCTGAGGCGGGCTTAGTCAGCACTCCAGCATGCTGAGACTGGAGGACATGTTCAGCAAGAAAGATGAGCAGTTCTAGGACAGATCCTCGTGGAATAGAGCAGCTCTTTCAGCACAGCAGAGGCTTGTGATCTTAAAACGCGGATGTCAGGAGGAGGATGCTGGATAGGCCAAGGTGCTTTTACAAGCAGTGGATGACACAGGGTGTTGAGAAAAGAGAGAATTTAAAAAAGACTTGAGAGAGGGATGAAAGCAAAATTAACTTTAACTCAATCCCTTTGTGATAGGGCTGTCGTGGTCAAGAAATTTCACCTGGGGTGAGTCAGGGCGGCTCTATTTTTAATGTAGCTTTTTAGCTAATTTGTTTGTTGCTGTGCATCCCCGGGCCGTATGTTTGACATCTCTGGTCTAAACCAAACCCTTAATCTTTTACAGTAATGAAAAGTACTGTTATGGTATAAATCCTGAGGGCTAAAAAAAAAAAAAAAAAGTACCAATGGAGAGAGATGCTGCTTCACTTCCAAGATACCAAAGTAGTCTGAGCACAAGGAGCACTTATCAGCACTTAAGAGTGGCAGCCTACAAGTCAAACCGTCTGTTAGTAAACACACTGCTGCAGTCTTGAATCTAAAAACAGGAAGAAAAAAAATACTCACGTTGTCAAATTGCCATCTTTAACATCTTTGACATGATTGAACCACAACCTAGCGACAAGCGGCAAACAAAAGACCACCACGGACCAAAATATAATGCCGTCAAGGAGGAGACACGTTACCAGGGCGTGTGTTGTCGTGAAATATTCAGAACCTCAAGACTCTGATGTCATAGTAAGACCTGTTAAGAGGAGTTCTTTTAGAACTCCCGCTGAACGCTTCATTAAAAATGGATAAGCTTTCTCCAACACCTGCTCACTGATTCTCATTTGTGGCTTTCGTTCTGGGCACACAGCGACACACTGGTACGAATGCCAAGGAGGTATCAAAGTGTGACTTGTCCTAATTACAGTAGTGTTTTTTGTTATTTTGATTCTAAATCTGCATGGTTTGCCATTGATCTCGGAAAATACCCAGAGCGATGTTTTCTTTGATTCTGGCTGTGGCTGTGGCCCTCCTGCCATTTTTATTATTAGTAAAAGATGTCATATGGTCACAGGTACTGGACCAGGGGTGTCAAACTCATTTGGTTTAGGGCCAGGTGGGCCAGACCAGTACAATAATAACATAATTACCTATAAAAAACAAAGAGTCTGTTTTTTCCCCTTTTTTCATGCATAAAAAGTACATTAGACAGGTTCATAATTAGTAAAATATAATTTTACAAAACATTTCCTGAACATTAGGTGTTTGTGTATTTTTTGTATATTTTTTTTCCAAATTCATCAAGTGGGCCGGCTTATAAACCACAGGCGAACCAGTTTTGGCCCACGGGCCATATGTTTGACGTGCCTGTGCACTATATTTGCAACACACTTTAACAAACGTGATCAAAAACTAAGTCTAGAATGTGAAAGAAAATGTCTGCGGTCACCAAAAATTTGTAAGGTCAAAGACAGCCTGCTGCATGTTGGGTGTTCAATTCAGTGACTTCACAATAGCTGGCAGATAATTACAACATCTTCTGAAACAACAACTGTCTGTTTATGTCACGAGATTGTGAGGCTCGAGCCCCTTTAGTGTTCTGACACCATCAATCAGAGGCCTTTCATATGTCACCAACACCATTGTTGTCATCTGTCACCAGTAAATGACAGTAAAAGAAATAAATCACTGCATCATTACAGCACAAGGCTGAAATGAAAGTCACCTTCAAGCGATGGTTGGAATAAAGTCC